GCGCCCCACCGCGGCGCCGCCCCGGCCCGGTCTGCCGCCACTCGCCAGAGCGGGGCGGCCCCGCGAGAGTCCCGCAAACAGCCCCCCAGAGCGCAGCCAACAGCGCTGGGAACCGTTACAAGGGGACAGAACGTCTCGCTGTGCCTATCCCTCCAGGGGCGCCCACGTGTGCAATGCTGCCTACAGCTGGGGCCTCCTCATCTCGCAAGCGATCTCTTGGCATTGAAAACGGGTGAGAATGGGCAGCAGAGATGATGAGGGGGTGGAACGGCTGCCATAGGAAGAGAGATTAATGAGAGTGGGACTTTTCAGCTTGGAAAAGAGGCGACTGGGGGGGATACGGTAGAGGTCTATAAAATCATGACGGGTGTGGAAGAAGCGAATAAGTAAAAGTTATTTAAATTAACAGGCAGCAGGTTTAAAACAAACCAAAGGAAGTTTTTCTTCACACAGCGCGCAGTCAACCTGTGGAACTCCTCGCCAGAGGAGGCTGTGAAGGCCAGGACTTTAACAGGGTTCAAGAAAGAGCTTAATATAGTCATGGAGTATAGGCCCATCAATGGCGGTTAGCCAGGATGGGCCTCTGTGGGTCAGGGTCTGGGAATGGGCAACGGGGGAGGGATCACGTGAGGATTCCCAGTTCTGTTCCCTCCCCCTGGGGCACCCGGCCTTGGCCGCTGTGGGCAGAGGGGACCCTTGACTGATGGGAGGGGGCCATAACCCAGTGCCAACAGCTGCCTCCAGAGTGCCCCAAGCACCGGGGGCCCCGAGGGGCTCCTGTGAGCCGGGCCGGGCCCTTACCTGTGCCACCAGCGCCTTGCGGCTGTCCCGCTTCACAGCCATGGCGAAGTCCAGCCAGGTCCACGTGTTGTTGTGATACTCCAGGCAGGGCAGCACCAGGTTCAGGTCGCCCCAGTCCACGCTGTTCTTCTCGCCCTGCGCCAGACGCCGTGTCAGACCCCTGGCTGGGCTCCCAGCGAGACCCAGCAGCCAGAACCCCTGGGCTCCGGGGCACACGGGACCCAGGGCAGGGAGCTGTGGGGCAGCGCCCTCTTCCCCGCTGCCCACGGCTCAGGGCGAGGCCTGGTCCCCAGCCAACCACGTGGAAGTGAGAGCGCAGGAAGAAGGCCCCCGGCAGCAGCCAGAGCCCCAGGGCAGAGGGGAGGCAGAAAATGAACTTCAGGTTGGAGATTCTGTTCCTGCACATGCCACGGCTCCCCTCCCCGCCCCGCCCAGGGCTGCCCCGCCCCGGGCACCGGGCTGAGGCTGGTGCTGACCTTGTAGCTGACGCAGAGAGGCACTTGGGGGATCTTGATGTAGATGAAGGAGTTGTTCATGGCCGCACGCTCCTTCATCTTGTCAATGTCGTCCACAGGGTGCTGGGAGGGACAGAGCCACCGTCAGCAGAGCCAGCAAAGGGGACGAGGCGCACGGCTGGGCACTGGGTTCCTCTCCCCCTGCCAGGCCTGTTCTGCCCGTGCTGCTCAGCATGCAAGGGGAGCTTTGCAGGCCCACGGGGGAGCCCCCCAGCCCGGGGCCAGGACTCCCCAGACGAGGGGACGGGCGGCAGGGCAGGTACCTCGGGGGCTTTCCGGAAGGACCTCCTGACCCCTGTCGTCCGGTTCAGTCCCTGGGTCACTCCTTTGCCCGGGCCCAGCGAGTCGTCAGCCGCAATCAGCTGCCTCGGCTTCACCACACGGATGGC